AGTTACATGACAACTCTGCTGAAGCCCGAGACGAGATAATCTGCAGAAAGATGTTAAAAAAAATGAAGGAGAAACGAACAGATCTGGACTTAGAGCTGTTAAGGTGCAGCGCTCTCAAAGGATGGTGGATTTGAGTGAATAGTGGCTGGCATGAGCGAGTAGGGGGGCCGGTATGACGCAGGGAGGGCAGAATAAAATTATACACTATTTATAGCCTCACAGCGACCTACAGTATGATATTCTTGCAGAATATTCTCTTACATCCTCTCTGCATGCTTACAGACACTGTAAATCAGCCATGCAGATTTTATTTCTACTCAGATTAATTAGTGTTCTTTAACAGCATGATGATAAACCAATCTTCCCAGTGCTGAGGCAATCTCTCCCTGTAGTGGTAAAGAAATGGACCGCAGGCGTTTTCGGGCAAGGCTTTGAAATCACGTCTGCAAAGATTGAGCATGATTTTACTTTTCCTGTAAAGTTCAGAACATGACTGTGGGATCTCATGAGATTACTGCTTGTCTAATTGATGCGTTTAATGCCTTGTCAGTTTGACCCACTACATCAGGGGTGTCAAACTAATTTACACCGAGGGCCACATCAGTATAATGGTTGCCATCAAAGGGCCAGATGTAACTGTAAGACAGTAGAAATGTAGCTAAATTTCACTAGATGTAATGTAAAATAAACACTACTACTCCTTAATATTAAATAACTGATTTTTTTTACTTATTCAACTTACAAATATTACATTTATATATTTGCATAGAGGTAGAAAAATATGTCTGCTTGTTGCTCTGTTATAGCCAAAAACTGTTTAATTTGCCAGGTTATGAAACCCACATTACTCTATAAATCAATGATCAAACTTTGCAAGTGAATAAGGAAAAATAACAAGTTATGACACTAACTTTGTTCAAAACTTTTTTTGTCATAGTTAAGATGGGCAGAATAATTATCCAACCAACAATTGTGAGCTACTAAGCATTTTAGCATTTTACAAAAAACAAATGGCTGCACACAGCCTGGCAAGGATCATACATCCAACTAATGAGAGCTGGTATTATAGAAAACATTTGCCTGCATAAACACATAAACCTGCAAACCCAAATACATTGCTGCAAATTTAACATAATATAATAAAATACATTTAATAAGTTTAATAAACTCAAAATAACAACATTGGGGTTCAAGGCTCACTTTGGCACTTAGCTCTGTGTTTGGTGTCAAAATACCAACGTAGATTGCACTCTGATGATTGCCACTGCCTCATAACACAAAGGACATACCAGTTTCTCTCCTTGAAGCACAAGCATATATTCATCTTCCCATCTTTCTTGAAACAGCCTTCATCTGCATCAATTTTTTTCTTCCTGGACATTTTGGGATCATTTTTTGTATTTCTCAATTCCACTTGTTCGGAAAATGATATTGATGTGGGAAAAACTGCAGTCTAGCGGTGGGATGATGTTACTTTGTGGGTAACACAATCTGCATGCATTATGGGAAATGTAGTTTGTTGTCAGTGAACCTTTTTGACTTATTTATTATAAGACAATCAGACCTTTTAAGCTCTTGCGTGCCACATAAAATGACGTGGCGGGCCACATCTGGCCCGCGGGCCTTGAGTTTGACACATGTGCAGTAATACCTAGAAGAAAAATACTGTGGACAGGAAATCTTTATTTTAATTTTTTAGTAAAAAAAAAAAGAGCTCTGCAACTAAAAATAAGCACGTCTCCCCCTGTGTTCAAGTTCTGACTGGACTAAACGCTGTTTGACTGAAGAGAGACACGAGAGGCTTGTGACAAATGACGGCACCATGTTTCAGGCTACACTTCTAAAAAGCTTCAATCAAAGCAGCTTTGCAGTATAAAATATAGGTTGTTTAAATAACACCTCTTGATTCTGGTCTGGCTGAAGGTCAGACAGCAGCGCTCAGCTTTACAAACAGCAGTTGGTGAAGCTCACGCTCACTCGAGTGGTGCACAATCAGAGCACTGAATGTACCTGTGACCCTGCAGCTTTGCAGTTTTTTGTCCTCAGCATCTCTTTATGGTCGTCTTAAGCTTAAATTGAGCCACGTTGTATTGTATACCTCATAAAACTTTGCTCCATGTACCCTTATGGCGGCGCTACTCAAATGCATTTTTTGTAAAACATTTCTCTGAGCAGCTCACGACTGATAGATCTACAATACGTCTTTTCAAACTGCCTCATCTTCCATCTGAAGCTAATCTGGATTTGCCAAATCTGAAAGCCAAGGGAAACAAGCACAATTTTGGTTTTCAGCTGCTAGTGGCCAACAAAGGGCAGCAGTGTGAGAGGTGAAGAGGTCGTCACATCTCGCCCTCCAGCTTCATCCCCTTCAGTTTCGACTCTGTTTCAAACGAGTCGTGCTGCTTTTGACACAACTGCGCAGCCTTTCATTGAGACTTTGGATGACTAAGCTGTGTTTCAACAAATTCAGCGTGAAAGAAGTCAAAGGCACAACAGTCAGTGCGAGACACGGTAAAAGAGCAATTTGTTTTCATCTTATTTTAATTCAGTGAAATCACATGTTGGATGTCACTTTAGTAGGCTTGTTCTAAGATTTGTTGCATCAGTATAAAATAAATATAATGTAAGACGCCATACTATTCCAGTCATTTATTCATCTTCTTTTCCTTGTCTGCATTCCCTTCCTCCTCATCACCTGTTTTTATGTTTGATCACCTCCCAGTGGTTTTAGTTTCCCAGTAAGTTTCCTAAATGCGTTTTAACAGTGAAAGTTTCATAATGAGTTTTTCCAGTGTGTTAATGTAACTGCAAAGCATTGTGGGTGTATCTTGGGTTTCTAACTGTAAATTACTGTGCGTGTGTGTAAGTTATGTGACCACATGACCAGAATGTTACTGTAAAATGACTAACAGTGAAGGTTTTAAATGTTTGCGGTCTGCAGAGAAAACAAAAATCCCACTGAGCCAGACACACACTGACTTCTGTTAGCTTTTGAAATATTTCAGGATGTAAATGAATTATTCTCATTCTGAGCCCTGCTATTATTTAAGAAACATAAAAGACAACTTCTACTATTTTGGTCGAAAAGGACATAGTAGAGGGGAGTAAACAACTTTTCATTCACTTGTTCCTAGCTTTGATCATTGTAACTGTAAAAGGATGTTTTGGCTTTTGTTTCAGCTTCTCATTAGGTGCATAAATTACTGTTTTTTTTTGGTATAAGTCAGGTTTTTTATTTTTTATTTTTTGCATAATTTGCATGCCCTGCAACTTATAGGGCAAAGCGTCTTATTTATGGATTTTTTCCCATATTTTTAAACCAATGTTTGGCTGAGATGACACTTTGCTTTCATTCTGACTGAAAAAAATTGAACACTAACATTTTCAGCCACTAGATGGCATTCGAGGAGTATGGCATGCCATTGTATCATGTAATAGGTAAAACTGGTTATTATTATTAACTGGTTAGCCGACACAATCGGCTTGCCACAGGCTGACACCGTCGTCTGCCTGGAGCAACCAAATCAGCTTCATTTCGTTGCACCGCCCCGTCTTCCTGATGCAGCTGATTTGACCATCAAAGTGCATTTATTAAATAAAAGTTCAACTGAGATACACCTTTACTATAATTTAGAGCAAACAAATAATTGTTTTTAGGTGTTTATTTTGTGAAATTTTGTAGAATTTAGTAAAATGTGCAGAGGCTCATTCCTCTGCACACGCCCACTTCCGCGAATGGAGTTTTGAAATGCAACTGATTTGACCATCAAAGTGCATTTATTAAGCAAATGTTAGACTGAGACACACCTTTACTAATTTCGAGTAAACAAATAAATGTTTTTGAGTATTAATCTTGTTAAATTCTTGTTAAAGTCCTCAAGTGCGCACTCCCGCGGCTGCCATTTGGCAGCCCACATTTCCAGGTTGTCAGCGGTGATTCATAGTACATGCAACATATACAAAGTGAGGTATTTACAAAATTTTTCCACTTTATTAGCCATATTTGGACTGATGTGATTTATAGGGCGATGCGACGTATACGGCAGAAAATACGGTATTAGTGAAGGCGATGAGATCAATTAAATTATGAGTAAAAATGTCTTAGATCCAAAACAGACAAATTGAAATGTTTTGCTTAACTGAATTAGTGTTAAAAACAATGTTTGTATAGTTTTGTCCCCGTGAACACTAAAGACACCCTTCAAGACTCTTTTTGTTGAATATGATCAGTTTTTATATAACTCTTTTTCAGGGAGTTCAGGATTCCTTTCAATCAAACATAACTTGGTAAAATTTGGAGCAACTGGAAGAAAAATAAAACACTGCACAATAAGACAAATGTATTATTACAAGCCACATTTCTATGTTGACAATGATCTTAAGTTTGATGTAATGTTTTAGTTCAATCCATACACGTTTTAATTCAGGGTCAAATCAAAATTGCAGATTAAATTACACTAAATTAAGATTGCTTCGTGTCTGGACCAAGAACAAAACAGTGATGTTTCTAATATGAAAGCGGATGTTTCCAGAGGCTCACTTGAGAAACATTAAATAAAACTCAGTTTTTATTTGGAGGATTTCAACATCTGGGAGGTTTCACCGCCACGGTTCAATGACTCCCAGTTCACATCATGCTGCAGCAGGAAGAAAGAAGACGGGGGGCCCAGAAAGGTTGGAAGGATGGACCTTTTTTCTTCTTTGATTGATTTATTTATTTATTCTCATTGCGCAAGAAGCGTGAAACATGATTCTTATTCATGCTGGACAATCTCCCGAACCTTATTGGGTGATATCAATGTAGTTTCCCACAATCCCACAGTATATAACGCACACACACATTCACACACAGACCACCGCCGCTACTACCTCACAGCTTTCACTTTGGAGTGAGGAGGAGAGAACCGCACCAACAGCCTTTGCGCACAGCACGTGCCAGGACTTTTCCTCCTCCAGTTTAAGGTTTCCTCTCAAAACAATAAAAAAATAGCAAAAGTCTAATGGCACTGAAGCCCTGGCTCACGTGCACTTGCATCCTACTTGTTGTGGCTTGCGCTGTGGCTCTTGTGTGTCTCTGCGTCGCCACGTTTGCCGGCGGCCGCTGTTCCAGCCGCAGCTTCAGGCGCGCGGCCGTGGCTGCGGACTCCAAACTCTGCTCCGAGATTGGCAAGTAAGTTACCGCTGAATACAAGTTCTTGCCTCAGTAATTCAACACTTTCTTGTGTAATTAGCTCTCATTAATGTTGCTGCCTTGGTTGTACTTGTGTTTATTTATTCCCAGTGAATAAAGCTTGGAGCTGTCAGGCTCTTAATGAGCTGATAAGCAGTTTAAGATCTTTGCTGGACTCTGTCTAGAACAGAGATTATACCAGCTGAGCTAGTAGCATGACAACTTCTAGATGTGTTTTTATGACACAAAAGAGAAAAGAGTGTGCACAGATTTGTGCTCAGAGCTTCATCTGTCTTCACATTAAGTGCAAATGTAAAGGAGAAAGGTGTTTTCATTGGAGTGACTGCTCTTCCTGCTTTTGTGTTCTGCTAGATAAGTTATTTCTTTCAACTCAGGCCGGTCTTTGTGAAAGGTTCATTTCTCAGGTCAAAGAAGAGACAATAGACAACTATGCTTTGACTTTTGATGATTAAAAGTGCTGATGTGGGCGTTTCTTTTGTCAGGGGCACTTTGCCAAAAATATTTTCCTTAAAGAAATGCAATTTAATTCCGCTTTATTTGGTTACAAATCAAAAACAAAATCATCTGCATTGCGATATCTGATGGAATCTAGTGCTTGGAGTTTGTGTTGTGAAGGTCCATTTATAAATTTTAACTGGTATTTGTAAAATTCACTGAGTTAGAACCATTTTTGACTTTGCCGTGATTAATTGTGGAAGTCATTTTCAACTGGCTTGTCTTCAAAAGTTAACTGTTTGCATGTGGACACATCCAGCCATTACTTCCTGTAAGTTTCATTAAAATCCATCCAGTGTTTTAGAAAGATATTTTGCTAACAGACAAACCAGGTTGATGCCAGCAATTAATGCCAAAGTAAAATGTTGTGCACTCAACATATTGTTGACACATGTGTTGGAGACAATGCTCTGCTACTTCCACGCCTAATGTCTGTAAAATTGGTTGGGCATGTTTGTGTTTTCTTGTGTCAACTGGCTGTGGCAGCCATCTTGAATGAGCTTGACTCACTGGAAGCTGGTGCCCATTGTGAGAGCTGGGGTACAACCTGGACAGGTCACAAGTTCATCATGGAGACACAAACATCCATTCACACCTAAGGACAATTTAGAGTTACCAAAGAACCTCCGTCCATCCATCATCTTTACCCGCTTCTTCCTTTTCGGGTCGCGGGGGTCACTGGTGCCCATGTCCAGCCATCACTGTGTGAGAGGCAGGGGACACCTTGAACAGGTCTCCAGTCCATTGCAGGGACACATGGAGACAAACGAGACAAACAACCATTCACTCTCTCACTCACACCTAAGGACAATTTAGCGTCATCAGCCTAACATGCATGTTTTAGATCTGTGGAAGGAAACTGGAACATATAAGAAAATCTAAGTGTGGAACATACAAGCTCCACCCAGAAAGGTCAGCAGGTGAACCTGCAACCTTCCTGTTGTGAAGTGACAGCTCTAACAACTGCTCCACCGTGCCGCCCTCTGTATGCACATTTATGCCACTATGTTCAAACTGTTTTTTATCACTTCCCGTCTGCAGGTATGTTCCTGTCAGCCAAATATTTATAGTTTGTCCAACTTGTCTTTATTATCAACCTTTCTTTAATCTAGTTGTTCCCAAACTGTTCCACTTTTGAACCACAAAGTAAAAGTTGCAGCTACATTGTAACCTTGACTATTTAGCTGAAGTCTGCACACCTTGCAAATAAACCAATGAGCTTTATCAAACATTATATACGTTTTTTTATGACTATCATTTGTATTTCTATGCAACAGTTAAGGCTGAACGTGATTCTCAAGACCTCAGTCTTGGTGTTTCATGACCTCGAGTGGGACACAGACCCAAACTTTGGACACCGCTGCTTTGTAATACATAGACATGACTGAATTTGTCCATTATTCTGTCACTTCTTTGTCTTATAAACTCTAAAAAAGTTCACTCTGGCTTTATTTTTACAGTCAAAGCATTCCTAACATTGCCTTTTTTCGTTGCTCAGTGAGCACATGTGATCCTGCGCCAAATTTCCTGTGAAAAGACCCATTCAGGGTCTCAGAAAGAACCCACACTACAAGCTCAGTCATCTGACATGCAGTCGGATTAACTTAAACTTAAATAACTAAAACAGATAAGCTGAAATTTATATGCTTGGCTGCCTCTTGATTCAAGTTGAATAACTTAATAAGAAAATTGGGAGAAATCCCCGACAGCAGAGATTTTGTGGCCCGTGGTTGACCACCGGTTCAAACTTGCCTCCTATTCTTTGCACTATAATGAACCTCAGGGTCTAAAAAAGCCTTTTTAAGAGTGCATGTGTGTGTGGGTGTGTGTGTCTGTGGGTGGGCAAACAGTCTTTGAGTTAGTTCCCATGAATTCACTGGAAATGTTTCTCAGGAACATGCTTGAGCAGGGAGGCTCGGCAGTAGATGGCGCCATCGCTTCTCTTCTGTGCACATCTGTGGTGAACCCTCAGAGCATGGGAATCGGAGGAGGCTCCATAGTGCTTGTAAAAAATAAAACAGGTGAGAGTTGTTGTTTGTGTCACACGTTTTATATTTCCTTTTTCATTTGTAGATTAAGTCAGAGTTGACAGTTCTTGGTGTCTTCTCAGGCGGCGCTACAGTCTACAACTTCAGAGAGACCGTCCCACAAGCATTCAAGACCAACCTACTAGACGACTGTCCCACTACATTCAGAATGTCCACAGGTAGGCAGATGTCCTCTAACAGAAGACTAATCTCATCCATTATACTGTAAAGACGTGGGTTTTGTCTCATTTTCACACTCTTGTTATTCAAATCCAGATGTCATTTCAGAGCCTGAATGAAACAACCTGTTATACGTATTTTATAAATGTGGAAAAATGAAACTACCATAACATTTCTTGAAGGAATACACATTTCCTTTCATTTGCATGCTAATGTTTTAAACAAAGATTTTGCTTGAGTTTTACACCAGTCTGCGTATGTTAGGCATAGATTTCAGCTTCTACCACACAGATTTTGAGTCAGTATCTGTACAGTTGAATGTCTCCAAACCATTTCAGGGACCATTAGCTGTTGTTGCCACCTTGGATTTGGTGTTGGATTACATTTTTAAAAAAGATGCATTAAACATGACAGCTTTAACAAACCAATTCAAAATGGTCTTTTAAAGACTGGGGCTTTAGCTCATTTCCCTGCATGTGTCTTGTCCCACACCTGGACTACAGCTCTTCTTGGACTAAAACTGCAGTTTTCCCTGTTCTGCCCCGAAGCGTTGATGAGTTTAGCACTTTATATCACAATTCATCTGCTGCTGGTTCTTGTATGAGAGACTCTCTAACTGTCAGTGGATCTCTCACCATCCAAAACTTACACGACTGAGACAAGAGACGTTCTTGACAGGGTGACTTCAAGGAGAGTCAAAATCAGCAACCTGCTCACCAAGTAGGAAATATTCATAAAACTGAGTAAAAGCAACTAAATGTTTTAACATTTAAACATTACTATGCAGAAGTTTTAAATCATTCCTCATGTCTTCATGTTTTCTTTCCAAGAAGTGAAACTTTGCTGTATTTTTTTAATCTGGTTTTAATCAAAGTTTTTAGGGTTTTGGCCATCTTTCAAAGTTTTCTGTTTGAATTTGACTACCCCCCCCCCCCCCCCACACACACACACACACACACACACAAACACACACTATTTTCATACATACATTAGAATGCATCTATTATTCTGATGTTAACATGAGTTTAGTCACATTTATATGAGTTATCCAGTACACAACTTTTTATGAGCATTATTACTTAACATACTTATAACTGGAACAACATTTATGTTTTGTGTCAGTCACAACAAAATAGTCTGAGCAGCGTTAATTTCACCCATTTAAGGACAAAGCTGATGTTACATTAACAGCAAAGCTGTGTGAAAACAGCTGATGGCTGGAAAAGTTCCTCCTGTATGTTAAATAAAACGGAAAAATGAGGAATTTAGTAAAAAATCTGCTGTAAAACTTGAGATGCACCATCCATCAGTCAGTCAGATACAGTTTGACAAGTTTTTAACTAAAAACTTTTTGAGAATCACCTTGTTGTGCAAAGAAACTGAAATTTGTGTTGCTCCTTGATGGAAATGGGTAAATAATATTTAATGACCTGCCACTGTTTACCGTAAGTTCACCGTATGCCACAAGTGATTTTGCATTTATGTCACTTAAATCTTTAATAATTTGTTTTTTTATATACTTTAGTATTTGAAAACAAAAAGTTTCCTTTGTAGTATTTGATCTTTAAAATAATTGTTTTAGGGTGACTACCGTACTTGCCGCCGTACACGTCGCACTGCCGTATAATTTGCAGCAGTCCAAAAATGTCTAATAAAGTGGAAAAAACATAACTAAGTCGCTTCGCCGTATAAGTCGCATCTATTATGCGTCACCGCTGACGTGTCGCGTTTGTTACGTGTCACAGCTGACAACACGAAAGTGTGGGCCGGTGTTGTGCCAAAACTCAAATGCCTGCCAAATGGCGGTCGCGGGAGTGTGCATGGAGGACTTTAACAAGAATTTAACAAGCTTAACACTTAAAAATAATTATTTGTTTGCTCAAAATTATAGCAAAGGTGTGTCTCAGTTGAACTTTTCCTTAATAAATGCACTTTAATGGTCAAATCAGCTGCATTTCGCCTGGGCGGCGTGGTGAAATGCAGCTGGTTTGACGTTTGCTCCAGGAGTTCCGGAGCGAGACGAAGGCGGCTTGATATGGCAAGCCAAGTGTCTCATTAATAACCACTTTTACCTAGTAATGAGACACTTGGCTTGCCATATTAATCTAGGGCCCTCTAGTGGCTGAAAATGGTAGTGTTCAATATTTTCCATGTCAGAATTAATGAAATTGTCAGGTCTCAGCCAAAAATTGGTTTATAATATGGAAAAAAAAATACATAAATACGTTGATTTGCTTTATAAGTTGCATGCATGCTAATTTATGCAAAAAACTGTGACTTATATAGCGAAAAATACGGTAATAGCCTACTAATGAAAGAACAATTCATATCAAAATACTCTATTAGTCCCAAAGGGTTGTAGCTCATCATCCTGGTTTCATTAAGAGTTGGTATATATGCAGATGGCTGTGAGCAGGAAGGATCTCCTGCAGCAGTCCGTCCCACAGTAGTCCCACAGCGGATCTGAAGAAACTGGTTGTAGATGTTGATCCGTCACACTTATAGATGAAAAGAAGTTATTTGGCTAACTCTGGCCCATGTTTTATGGATTTTAATTGTTTATTGTTGTTAAAAGTACAATTTTTTCCTGAGTTGTCTTTTATCAGTCGACACAACACTAAGTTAAGGAGTCTTTTCATTCCTGAATGATTCATGGCCCAGTGACTTATCAAATCCAAAACATTCCTTTGGGCTTAACCGGTGGCACAGTTGGTAGATCTGTTGCCCTCTCAATGAGAAGGTTGCCGGATCGAATCCTAGCCAAAGGTCTTTCCTAGTGGAATGTGCATGTTCTCTCCGTGCATGCATGGGTTTTCTCTGAGTACTCCAGTTTCCTCCCACAGACCAAAACATGCATGTTAGGGTGACTGATAACTCTAAATCATCCCCAGGTGAGAGTGAGAGAGAGAATGATTGTTTGTCTTGTTTGTCCCTGTGATGGACTGGAGACCTGTCCAGGGCGTCCCTGTCCCACGTCTCTCACACAGTGACTGTATATGGGCACCAGTGACCCCTGTGAAAGGAAGAAGCGGGTAAAGATGATGCATGTATGAATGAATGGATGGATGGATGGATGGATGACTAAAGCAACCAAAGGAACAAGCAATCAATAGATAAACAAATAATTAAAACGTTGAATGACTTTCTGAAATAATGCCGTTTGAAAAATGGTTGATTAAGGATGATTTATAGTTTTGCACAATACTGTAAAATGCTGCTTTTAAGCATTTAATATTGTACAATAAGTGTGCAACTACTGTGTCCTTTAAGGACAAATCTAAAAATATATTTAAATATCGTCCTTGACTTCATAGACAAATCTTTCATTTAGCATTATTTTATATCTTTTCTGCAGTGCTGAATGAACCTTTTATAAATCATTCATCTATTTGTTTATTCATGTTGTTCCTGCATATGAAACAAACATTTTGCATTAGCAAAATTATTAATAGATAACTAGATAAAAGCAGGTTTTCTTAAGTCATAGGTTGAAGTAAATGTACCTTTTACTCACAGAAAATAGTACCTTTTTAGTAAAAAAATTAAAAAAAGTTTGGTTTTCAGCCTCAAAGAAGACACACAGCCTGGATGTCCATAATATGTGTGAAGTATTCTGGTTAAATATATGGTAACAGTCATCAAACTTTAAAAAAGCGGTTTCTTTTGAGCATTGTTCTTGAAATGGGGTCAAAGTAGAGCACTGGTTTTAATCAGAGTTTTCATTTTTTGTTTCTGCTGTGCATATTTCCTACTTCAATGATAGGCAGTCAGTGGATTGGTGTTCCTGGAGAGCTGCGGGGCTACGAGGTCCTTCACCAACGGTACGGAAAGCTGCCTTGGGCCAAGCTGTTCGAGCCAACGGTCAAACTGGCCAGGGAGGGCATCCCCTTGCCGCCATTTCTGGCTTATTTATTCAGCTCGCCCATTGTGAAAAATCATGTGGAGAACTCATCTTTATGGTAAATCTACACACATACGTCTCAGTCACAGATATGATGGCTATTAATGCAGATGTTGCCCACAGAAGATGCTAATTCCATCATAGTTTCTTGTAACGTCTCAGTAATACTTCTACTGTTTCCCTTCACACTTTGCATTACAGTAAAAACTTACGGAGCTGTGTGAGTCGTTTTGAGACCCTTTTAGATCCATATACATAACTAAAACAAGTGGCAAACGGTATACAAGACAATTACTAATCAAGGCTAGTGCGTGCTGGCAGAACCAAGGAACAATCAGGTTTTTAAGACACCACAGAGAGTATGAAGCAAAAAATAAATGAATAAAAATCCTACCAAAGCGACTGAAAACTAAACAATGAAAAGAAATGAAAATGGATGAAATGAAAAGAAAAACACGAGCATAAGGCCTAGATAAATTCAGCATAATTAGACCCAGATAACCTGATTAACAACATCTTGTCTGTGTACATTTGTATATTCCTTTTGCACAACAGTACAGTGTTGGCGACATTACAATTTCAGAAACGAGAGATGAAAGTACGACTTGTTTGCTTCTTTCAAAAATGTTTGAGTGGCATGATGTTTTTCTGCTACAATATAAAAAAAAAACATGTTAACTCCAAGTTAAAAAAAAAAAAAAAGTTTGCAGATTATTTTAGGCAGCTTTAGGAACAGAACAGCATCAATAATCAAAGCACCTTGGAACACATTTGTGTAAAAATATACTTTTTTTTAAACGTCTTCCAGCATCTCAGTTTTGGAGTGTGTGTGTGTGTGTGTGTGTGAGTAGCGGTATGAAGATCCATAAAAAACTTTGCATGAACATTATTCAGAGTTTGTTTTGATGATGCATACAAATCTGAGTGCCTTATACTCCTGATGAGGAAAAAGTAGGAAAAACCTTGGATTTAGCCTGTAGGGTAATTTTTTAAACTGCTCTGATCAAACGGCTCATCAGTTTTTTGTTAAATGTATGTTTGCTTTTTATCAGTGAAGTTTTTTGCAACAAGAACAAAACCATCCTGAGGAAAGGGGACACTTTGAGGATGCCTAAGTTTGCAGAAACCTTGGAAACCATTGCAACTCAAGGGGTAGATGCCTTTTACAGTGGCAAGATAGGACACAACTTAATCCAAGACGTAAAGGCTGCAGGTTGGTGCAAGAAGGCCAAAATGTGGCTGTGCTTTTCTGCAAACATGAATAAATAATGTGAAGAACTGAGGAAATTAAAAAAATCTCGTTTTTTTCTTACAGGTGGGACTTTGGAAATGGAGGATCTGAAGTCCTTTCAGGTGCAGGAGGACAGTGCGTGGACAGTTTCCCTGGGGGATACTCAGATGCACATCCCTCCACCTCCTTCTGGAGGGGCGCTGCTCGTTTTCATTCTCCAAATCATGAAAGGTTTGATTTCTTCTGTAATGATTATAAATTTGATTTATGGATGAATGATTAAAAACATGGGGCAGCACGGTGGCGCAACTGGTAGAGCTGCTGCCTCTCAGCGAGCAGGTCCCTGGTTCAAACCCCGGTCCAGGGGCCCTTCTGGGTGGAG